TCTCATGGATGGCTAATAGATTTAATGCAGCATTTAATCTCTAAATGCTACCAATCAGATCTGTGGTATGCAAGAAGCAACAGAACATTGTCTTTGTTTCTACACTGGTACATAAAGAAGTCCTGTGGTGGCTCTAAAAAAGTTATTAAATAAATATATATCCCATTGTCCACGTGAAGAACATATCAAATCAATCTTTGCCAAACGGTACTTTTTTTCTCTACTACTGCTTTCCATAAATGTTGCTCTTATATTGAATCAGTAAACAAGGAATTCAGGCACTCACCACTTAACTAGGGCGGCTTTCCCTACAACCACAACTATTGTGTCTTTCAGAGAATGCTGCTCAGTGGCCTCACTAGGTGGCAATCCAAATTTTAAAAAACAAAACAAAACATGAATTTGGCAAATAGATTAACTTTTCAAATATCCAGTTTCCCTTTTTATCAGTGCCAATATGGTTTCAGCCAATTTGTGGATTGTTGTTGCTGTTGTTGCTGTTGTTTAATATAAATAGAAACATTTGGATACAAACAAGATCTTTATATGAATTTTTCCTAATATGTTCATTTGGGGATGCATTTTCCCCCAAAGTATATATTTTTGCAGGCAGTCTCTCCTAATATAACTTTTTTCTGTGCATTATTTTCACCAATATGTATGTATTCCAACATATGCATTTTTGTGCCACACAAAACTGCACTGTAAAATTTGGGAAAGTATCGGTTTGGAAGCATGACTGAGTTTTGGTTGCGTCTTGATTAAAAAATATGAATTAGTGAAAGGTCCCATGAAACTTCAAACTAAACTCATTTGTCTCCCATCTCTAGGAACGTTAAAAAGCTAAAAATATTACTGTGTAAATAAAAACTATGGAGACCTTTACAGAGGCACCATGAAGATGATATATTTGTAAGGGGAAACTGTTGTTTAGGAAAAGAAGCATTGTTCATAATATTGCAATTATATACAACTCTCAGTTTTATTCCAGCCTTAAAAAGATTACCAGAACTAACCTATAGTTAACTCTGTCATGATCTTCATGGCATCAGTGTTGGAGGCATGGGGATTAGGCAGCAGGAAATTCCTAGATCTATGATGTTCTGTTGCTTTCATATGCTGCGTAGATTACATTTTGTGTCTTTCCTTGGCTAACTTTTGAAAGTTGTGGTCTAATTTGCAGTCAGCAATATGGTGCCCATGGGATCCAAATTACGATGACACTAGTAGATGGTTTTTGCCAATCCCCCAAATTAAATACAGAAAATAGCTCAGTTCACCAACTCTCATGAGATCTGGGGGGAGTAGATCAATATTGTGTAATATGTTTGGGAGAGGAGCTGTTAGATATGAGATGTCCATATTTTTTTCCACTTTTAGTTGAAAAAAACAAAACCTGTACCAAAATGCAAGATTATACAAGGATGCCTGACGCTTGAAAAAATTGCTGCCTTTAAAGCAGAGTGTACTGAGTGTACAGTGTGTGGCTTCCAAAGCCTTATTGCTGTCACCCAAAATACAGTCTTACAAAATACATTTACATCTTGCAAATGCACTGCCATGTGCTTCATTGTCACGGTAAACATTTTCTCAGTGGGAAATTCAGATTCTGCTCACTGTGAAATAATCCTCGGGGAAATTACCATAGGAAACCAATTCCAATGTTACCTCCCTATATGCATTTGCACATCTCAGGATTAATTCAAAACAGGACTTGCCAAGTAACAAACCTTATGTCAGGACCATTGTTTGGTATCATACCAAAGAGGAAGTTCACTTCCTCAAAAGAAAAGGCATGAGCTAAATCTGCCTTCATGGAAATTATGAGGAGACATTTGAAATCAAGTACCTTTTCTGCTGTTACAAATCACTGCAGAGTATTATTCACCATAATGCTGTCCAAACATCATTTTCTTCATTGATGTGCATTGCTTCTCTTTTACAGAGTGATGAGGTTTTGACTGTCATCAAAGCAAAGGCACAGTGGCCTGCCTGGCAACCACTAAACGTGTAAGTAGGGAAGGGAGCCAACCTCCCAGAAGACTTTTCTATTATTGTCCTCTGACAGAATGCTGTAAACATCATGCCTTCCACAAAAGTTTCTCTCTTTCTCAGATAAAAATGTGTTGATAAATTAATCTTCTTTGCCTCTGTCCATGTTTCCATCTAGCAATATTTGGGGAAGATCAAGTTAAGGAAGGGTGTTATTGATCCAGCAATAAATCTAGAAATGTATTTCCCATTATGTTGATCTTTTCCTAAGGACTGGGGGTATATCTAGTAGCTAATACAGTTCCTGCTTGCTTAGTTGTAAGCCCAATTTAATTTAATGGAAAATGAAAAATTAAGCTGCTTTAATCAGGGCTGCCTTGGGAACTCCAGTTATGAGAAGAAATAGGACTCCAATAGAAGAGAATATCTGTAGCTCAGGGTTGAACTGTGGAGTCCTTGGTGCTTTCTGAGCATGGTTGTTTTCTTGCAGACGTTTCATTACCCAACTAGGTAACATCATCAATGCAAGTGAGTGTGGGGTTTGTTCCCTGTTTGTATACAGTAGCTTGCTCTTCCGGTGTTGGTGGGGGTGTGGTTTTCTCCTTGGTAGTTCTTGATAAGGGTATTGTTTTTGTTTGCCTGGTGTTAATCCCTGCTTATCTGAATGTTGGCTGCTGGGGGGGATGTATTCTGGTCTTCCCCCGCCCCCTTAGCCTTTTGTTGTCTCTTTTGAATGGTGTGTAAATATGGTTTATTTCTATGTGTCTATTGATGGCTGATTTGTCTGAATGCCAAGCTTCCAGGAATTCCCTAGAATTTTGGGGTTAGCTAAATCAAGGAAAAAACCATACCCCCACCAACACTGGCAGGGCAAGCTACTGTATATAAACAGGGAGCAAACCCCATGCTCACACTGATGATGTTACCTAGTTGGGTAATAAAACATCTGCAAGCAAACAACCAAGCTCAGAGAGCACCAAAGATTCCACAGAAATAAGACTCTCCCATTTCTTAGAAAGCTGCAGTTCCTATTATTAATGTGTGACATGATACCTTCCATTTAAACAGGGCAAGCAGGTTGTTAAAAAATGACAATTTCTCATAACAACAAAGCAACAATACTGGGCAGTGATACCTCTTCCTCCACAACTCTAAAGAATTAGTGACCTAGACTCAACTGAATGCACTACTAGCTGCATCTATCAAGATTCTTCTTGCCTCCCTAAGTTCTATGTCTGTTCCACCACTACTGGAACCTAGAACCTAGTTAATGGAAGCTCCCTCCAGGAGAATCTGATATCCAGGGTTGGTAACTTAAATGAGAATACTAATTAATACATTTCAGTCATTTGTCTTACTTTTGAACTGTCCCTCTAAACTGCACTTTCTATGAAAGTTTCCTTCTTTTAAAATAATAAACACACTTTCTAGAGTATAAATCTATATAGGATACAGTGTGATTTATTTGAGGATTATCTCCAGCCTAGAATGTCTGCTTGGTTGAAATTTTATGCACTGCCTTCAGAACATTTTTATCTGCTTCTTTTATCATAGTATGTATTGCTTTACACTATACTGCACATTTTTTCCTCTCCTCTCTCTAGAGTTGCTTGACTGAGTCTTTTGTTCAAAATTCTTTTCAAAATAGGCATTTATAACACATTTTTGTCAACACCTTCAACATTTCAAGGCAATGTGTGATTTGGTCAAGCACACAGTGTATGTTCTTTGGTATTTCATGCTGTCTCTCATGGTTTTGTTTATAGTACATAGCACTTTTTTGTAAATTGTTCTGTCCATACTGGGGATCTGTGGAAATTGTCTTTTTCAAGGGTGTCATTCCTGCATCTTTGTAAAATAGGATTTGAAAACTCACACACATTTTCACATTCAATTTCTCTGGCCTTATTTACCACGCTGTTTCATCAGTGAATCCTTTAAAAACAATGCATATGTACTTCTCACAAAATATTATGCACATCAGTACCAATTAATGTTAATAATAATTAATAATAATTAAGCACATTAATTTGTGCTTCTAAAATGCCTATGATGTTTGTAGAATTACTGTTGAATTAAATTTCATCTAATTGAAGACAATAAAGGATACAAATTTTAGTTATTCAAATTTCATACAACTGTCAGGGCACATCTGTATATTGTTTTTTAAGAACTGGATTTGCTTATAAAAATTTCAGTTCCCTGTAGTTTTCATTTGCAGCTGATTTCAGAACGACAGTTATATATCCAGGGTAGGCTCAATCTGTTTGAACAAAACTTGCTTTCTGATTTTGCCCCTGGGGTATCATGACAAAATTTGAATAAATTCTCATCAAACCATTTGTTCAGTATAATACACAAGTGACTATAGACACAGATGGGATGTAATTGGGGAAAGCCTGTGTCCTTCTAGCAGCTGCTGATATCTCTCTAGAAGTATCCCATTAAAGATTTCATTCAGGACAGTTGTTCCCCAGGATTTGGTAAGAATGACAGAGAAAAAGACTGAAAGAGCAGAATCTCCAAAGAATACTTGGTCCTTGTCAAGAAGTTTTAAAAAATTATTTCTGTGCTCTTTTCTTAAATATTCATTGGCTTGATCTTGGCATGGATGGCAAAGGCTTCTATATATCTTGTTAGAGGTATACAGAGAATCATTGCCCCTGTTTGAAGTGTGTCATTGGGGAACTAATAACAGCAGGTGTTCCTGAAGGCTTTGGTGGATGCCCTCAGAGATCCCCCAAACTTGCTTTCAAATTGTATTTTTTAATGTGACAGGAAGAGAGAATTATCAAATTCATGATAGGATAGTAATCTTCTCTAAATAATAATGAAGCTTCAATAATTTCTTCTGGCACCACTCTTTTTTTTTTTTAAGTGCAGTCCTCAATTTGACACTCAGAGACAAAGCCCGGGCCTTGGCCAGAGAAAGTTGCTTGCTCCTGCTTCCTGACAAGCCATGGAGTTACACATTCACCATCCCATTTCCAGATGTAATGTCTTCTCTCTCTCCATGTTAGGCCTATTCAAGGCAGCTGTGCTTAGTGGGCACTTTGTACCGTAGAGGCTTCACTGTTTGCTTCCTTGTAAGGATGCAGTTAGTTTCACTGAGGTCACGATGCACTGACAGGTCATCGTGACCTGTGGCTATTAAAGAACTACCAAGTGCCAGAAAAGGCATCAGAAACAAAGAAAGCAGCATGACAGCTTTGCCCTGCTTTTTAGAAGCAGGAGGATCATGTCACTTTGTGAATCAACTATAAAAGATTGCTTCACTCAAAGCATTGTTGAAGTAAAACATTTCTTCAAAATTTTGCATATTATAAACATTTATGCCCCAAATGCAATAGATCGGCCCACCTGTTGAAATTTAGGTTCTGCAGACTTTGAAATCCATCAGGATAATTTATTTCAGCATATGATGCTTCATTGTCTAAGAAATGGAATTTTATATTTTTCTATTTAAGTTCTCCATTTTCCCTTAGTTAATTAAACTATGATTTATCAATGATTACAATATTGCCGCAGGATAAAATAAAATTAGCACATTATTATGCATAATGTAGCAGACCAGTTGTGGCAGGGATAATTTGCTAATTCTATTGACTAATGATTGTGGATAAATTCTTAAACATAATCTCCTAACATGCACCAGGAAACTGATTTGCTAAAACACTATATTGCATAAAATAGAATGATGTCAAATATATATATATATGTATGCATGGGGGGGATTTATGTATATACACTTGTATATCCAACAAGATAGTACCACATGTAATTACGCTGGGATTGTGAAACATGAAATATTTCCACCCCCAGGTGTAACCTTCAATCATCATAAAATTAGATCACAGTTGTTATAAAAGTTTCATACTCTAATCTTTCAGTTTTAAGGATACCACTATTAGGAGTCAGGAAATATTTTCACAATGCAATGAATTCCAAATAATGATTATTTATTATTAGTTGTTATCTTTGAAATTTCAGTATTTTCTGAAAATGAAAACATGTCATTGGTGCCTGATATGGCTATATTGTATTTGTTGTTTAAAAGATTAAGCATTAGACTGTTATTAGACTTGCCATCCACCTAACAAAGCTGTTAATCCTGGCATTCCTAACATTTTTTTCTTCAAATTGTGGCAAAGTTACAATCCTATTAGCAATTAATCTGCTAAGGAGGAGCACATATGATTTTACTTTTTTCATTCAAGCTGATCTGAGATGACAAAATACATGATTCCATCCCATAATTATCTACTGGTGAGAAACACTGACATATTGCGTTCACATAGGCAATTCTGCAAGCCACACTTGAACATAATAAAACACTTGGATTTCTCTATGACCAAACAGATTTGCCATAGATGAAAGGCTGTACAAATTAGCTTCCCTTGAAGCATTTCACTGTAGGATCAACTTTCAAGTTTGTTTTAGGCAAAACTGGTGATGACCTACATTTGTACATAAAATAAGCACATTCCCACATTGATGGTGTCTGGCATTGGAACTAGCCATGAGTGAAAGGTGAGAATCAAGACAGAGTTTTACATTAAATCGCATAATGCAACCTGTTTCTTTTGGGGAAAGGGAGGTAAAGAAAACTTATAATCATTATATTTGCAAAAGGCCTTTATTTCCATGCAATAAAATTTAGAATGTTTAAATCAATTAAAATGACATTTAAACAATTTAATTAAACACACACTCTCATACCAAATCTGTTTTACTTTTAAGATGTTCATCCAGTTCTTCTTCTGTATGACCACGAGGAAAAAAAACAACATAAATATAGGGCTGTTTTTTTCTTCTGATTGTGTTTAGAATAGTTACATATCTTCTGATCTTGGTTTTTAATGGGGGGGCAGGAATTTATAAATACAGTTTTGATAGTCAAATCAGTGAAAATTGTCCCATCTGTTTGTAAATGATTCTGAAACACACACACACATATAGACACACAAAAAACATCTGAGCTCTTGTGACAAGCAACAGTGCTATTCAGTTCTTTGCTT